GCTCCTTGCGAACAGATTGAGGTCGATCACGATCATAATGTTGCTCCTTTTGGACAAGTTGAGGTTGATCCTCTGGAAGAAAGTGGTTCCGAACTTCGAGTTGACCCTTCAGTTGAGGTTGATCACGATCATAATACTGCTCCTTGTGAACAGGTTGAGGTTGATCATGATCATAAACCCCCTCCTTGCAAACAAATTGAGGTCGATCACGATCATAATGCTGCTCCTTGCGGACAGATTGAGGTCGATCACGATCATAATGCTGCTCCTTGTGTACAAGTTGAGGTTGATCCTTCCGCTGAGGTTGGTCATGATCATAATGCTGCTCCTTGTGAACAGGTTGAGGTTGATCACGATCATAGCCCTCCTCCTTGTGAACAGATTGAGGTTGATCATGATCATAATGCTGCTCCTTGCGGACAGATTGAGGTCGATCACAATCATAATTCTGCTCCTTGCGGACAGATTGAGGTCGATCACGATCATAATGCTGCTCCTTGTGGACAAGTTGAGGTTGTTTGCGATCATAGCGTTTCTCCTTGCAGACAGTTTGAGGTCGATCACAATTGTAACGCTGCTCCTTGCAGATAGCTTGAGATTGATCACGATCATAACACTGCTCTTTGTCGACAGGTTGAGGCTGACCACGGTCATCATGCTGCTCCTTGCGGACAGGCTGAGGTTGATCTTCAAGACAAAAATACTTATTCATATACCTCTCCAAAGCCAAGTGTTTTGCCCTTTCCTTTATGGTCCAGCTCTGTGAGCTTCTCCCTGCACCAGAAGCATGTCGGAGAAGCTCCTTAAATTGGAAGTCCTCCTTTCCACTCCTCCCATGGCAGAATGGACATCTATACATAGAACCAGAAGCTTTAATTCTTATGAGACCTTGCTTCAGATCCGCATAATAGAAGTCTTGATACTTCTTCAAACTATCAGTCTCAGATTCTTTTTTAGAGCCAACAGACATCTTGAACCTAGAAAATCACATAAGTTTAGTCTAGGTAACTGGTAAGCCACAATAATGGTAGTCAAATACTGTGAGCAAAAAAGATTGAGAACTCAAGAAGTTGCAAGATTAGATTTACAGGATAACCAAAAACTATAAGGAAACACGAGCTTAATTTCATCTGGTAAAATAACAATCAATTTGAAAGTAAACTAAAGTTACCAATTAGAAACCCATATCATGGGATAAGCGAATCCACATAAAAATGTAGGAGTTGACTTCTTAACTCCATGTTTTTTTATACCAACTAGAGTTTGATCTAGCTTGTTACTTCTTTATTTGGTTGTCAAGAAAACTCTTAGGCATTAAATCCTAGGCAAGTGGCTTGAAATCATCCTTTTAAGCCCTTACCATTTACATTGGCCAAGCTGTAGGTCAACCTATGCCGGCTGACTTCTTAACTCAACTAACCTTGAGTCAAACACTTTTCTTAAGCCTCAAAGGAAAATGGAGGCTTTGAAGGTGCGAGACAACAAGTAAACAAATTCAAGTTCTCCATAGAAAAACTTTATGTGATCCCACTCCAAATCACAACGAAAAATTATTTGGTTCCTTCAATTCATCTTGCAAAATTCTTGTAATTGCAACTGCAGATAAAAGAAAGTGGCAGGATCCACACTTAATTTGGACTTGAAAATCTCTTTAAAACAGGAACAAAAAAAAAAAAAAAAATTACAAACATGTGGACATTGAAGATATTAAATTAAATACACGTCCCAAGTTCCATTCGCACACATTCGAACAGCAAAACAGAGAATCAACACTAACACAAGGCCATCGATGAATAGAGCACAACGAAAAATCTACAATCCTATGCTCTTTAAGTCATAAAAACACCGATATGTGGCAAAAATAAGAAAAGAAACGACATGAACTCCAAGCATCCTTCTACCGCCGTTCACTAATATTCCAATCAACAAAAACAGAACGACTACACAAAACAGAGAGGCGTCAAAGGATAAATAAGCTCTACAATCTACATTCAAATTGTAGCACGTAGATACTAAAACCACTCATGTCGTATTGTCATACCGGTGGAGCGTCGAAAGAGACGCAGACAAAATGAGGAGAGGAGACGACGGAAAGAGAACAATGATGGTAACAACAGAGAATTTACGGCGATTCTCCGGTGGTTCAGATGGCGGAGGGAAGCACTGAGAAGGCCATAACTGAGAAAAATTCTACTAGAAAGGAGAGAGAGAAAGAGGGACGGTTGGAGGAGGAGGGTTTTCTTACTAAAATAATATTGAAAGTAATCGAAAATTTAGTTTATAAAACATATTCTCCTTCTGAGTAAAGATATATCATCACATCCACACGGCAGATATTATCTTTTTTTGACTTATGCTTATCATGGATGAATGTTTTGTTCGGTTCTCCCACCACATCTCAAGTGAGGGTATAGTGTACTCGCTATCCAATCGAGGTAAAGATCTCACAATCCACTCCTATGAGCCTAGTGTCACAGTCTCAATATGATTGTACTCCGAGTAAGTCATCGAGGACGTTGACTAAGTTAAGTGGGGAGAATGTCACAACCATATTATGCAGAGAATATGTTGTGACCCTCGTCATGACAAGCAAAGCGGCATCCTCAAGAGATGCCCCATCCAGCCACATGCGGGCCAATATAGAAGAGTTCCATGATGGATCGAGGAGGACGATGCATTATCCAACACACTACCATGCGAAGTAGACATTGAAGACAAGTTGAGACATCATAATAGACATGAAGGGCAAAGATAGGTTTGTTGAAGGGTCAGGTAGGGCCCCGGGGCTTAACCTCAAAAGTCGGGGTTTCGAAAGGAATTTGGGCATGCGGTTCGGGAGTTAAGTCCGTCCATATGAAATATGAATGCTCGCCAAGTTTGATGTCAATCGGACATCGAACAGACTTTGCACGACACCGTATGACCATTCACCAAAATCATGTTTACGTAAATACGATTGAAAATAGCTCAAAATATACTATACGGTACCATGTTAGGTATCCACCACCCCTGGGCCCTGTGGCCTAAGTGGCACAGTGTGGGCGAGCATGTTGAGACGAGTGTCTTGATTTGACTCCTTTGACATGTATTTTTGAAGAACAGTACTAGACATTTAGATAATTAAACTCTTTAATTAATTAATTTTGTATCATTATGGCTTATAATTTGTAGGTATATAAGGTTCACTACTTCCTCATAACAACCTTATTGGAAAGAAAATTTGAAGGGTTCAAATTGATATTTAATATATTAGATATATTAAATATAAATAAAAAAAATATATCAACTTGAAGTTGAAATTAATATTTAATATATTAAATATATTAAAAAATATATATTTATGGTATTTGATACCATTAAATATTAAATTAATTAATATATTTTAATATATTAAATAAAAATATATTTGAAATTTAGATGAGATTTAAATTAATTAAATATATATTAGGATATCTCATAGTATCTATAATTTATATAAGTATAATATCTAATATATTAAATATTCAAATATATTATTTGGCAAACATTCTCGAAACTACAGATAATTCTATATACATTCGACAATTCTCTCTAATAGAATTCTCGAAACTCTCTTTCTCTCTCTCTGATCCTTTGTGATTTTTTTTCAAGATCCTTTGGATTTTTTTTCCAGAGGCTCCCATAACCCATAAGCCTTGATATTGTGTTCGAGTTTCAAGAGGCTCTCATAGTCCATAAACCTTGACCTTGTGTTCGAGTCATAGTGAGGAAGATCTTGTGGGATGTTGAAAACTTTCGCATGGTTGGAATCCTCCGAAGATTCTTCTACAAAGGTATCATAGTGAGGAAGATCTTGTGGGATGTTGAAAACTTTCGCATGGTTGGAATACTCCGAGGAGTCTTCTACAAAGGTAGAGTTCTTACTCCCTTTGTTTTAATTCTTAATAAAAATCAAAACGGTTCTCAATGCTTTCGCTACGTGGATGAAAAGTTCATTCCCTTAACGGACGACACGGGTGTGCTGGTATTGCACCCTAGCCCGCATGTTGGAGGTTGCTACATACACCCGCTATCCAATACGGTATCCGTAAATGAATTGGCATGGGCACAGGAGGGTCAATGCCTCGATAGAACCCGGATGGATGGATGTTCGGGAAGTCCCGATGAGATGAAAGACACTCGGACCCATTCTCGATGGCATGACCGAGCGAGTTATGATGACCGACGACATCCCGAGACTCTGGATGACGTCAAGACATATGATGGATGGATGTTCGGGAAGTCCCGATGAGATGAAAGACACTCGGACCTTTCTCGATGGCATGACTGAGCGAGTTATGATGGCCGACGACATCCCGAGACTCGGGATGACGTCAAGACATATGGACCTTGTCGATGGGGATCGAGATGGCAAGATGAGATGCAACATTGCATTGAGAGACCTTGACCCGAGCAGAGCCAAGGTCGAGCCGAATGACTTGGGCTAGTGTAGAGACAAGTCGGATGTGTCGCAGACAATTGAACATGCACATGCAGGCGGTGTGTGTGGTTGAACAAGCTTGGATTCCACACAAGCGATGTTCGATTGGCGAAGACAAACCTCGCCTAAGGTCCGACGAAGCCACACGACCAAGGCGAAAAATATATATGGGGCTTAATTCCCCTTAAGGCTAGTCGTGAGCGTGTCAAGATCATGACGTCACACGGTAAAAAATGTAGGACTGTGACACCCAGCGTCCTCACTAGCACACCACTCGGTGTTTAGCTCTAATACTATTTGTAACATCTCTAGCTCATCGCTAGGAGATATTGTCCAATTTAGGATTTTCCTTTCGAGCTTCTCCTCAAAGTTTTTAAAACACGTTTGTTAATGATAGTTTTCCACACCTTTATAAAGAATGTTTCGTTATTCTCTCCAACCAACGTGGGATCTCACAGAGAAGAGAAGGAAAAAGTGTTGCCATCGAGATCAACCAAGCAATAGAAATCGAATCATTTGTGCCATTTAACCCTTCGTTTTTTAACAAAGAACTCATCTTTGACGATTTCTCAATCTTTCTTTGTCGGGAGTAAAATGAGATACTAACCCGACGCAAATTGTAACTCGTGATAAAGATAAGAGCATAACAAACAGACTCAGTAACACAGATCTTACCAGACACAAATCTGAACAAAAAGATGAAGAAACAAATTACAAAACTGAAGCACAATATAGCTATACCCATCACAGCAGCAACGTAATTATGCATGAGTGGAAATAAGAACACTATACAATCGCTCGAGGATGTATAAAACCTCGGATTCTTCCATCCTCCGTTTCCGATCACCTCAACGGGTTTTCGATATGCTTTCGGAGACCCGAACTTACGTAAAGAGAGGTGATGCTGATGGTCTAGGATAAGCAGTGATTTCCTTGTGTGCATTGCCCTTCTCTGTGTTTTGCTTGCAGCTCCTGGACCTTCTATTCCCAGTAGCTCCAGTTCCTTTGGAATCCTGGAGATCGTTCAACGTCGTAACAATTTCGTCCATACTCGGCCTGAACTTTGGTTCTGCAGATAGGCAACGTGATGCAAGAATTGCTACTCGAAAAGCTGATTCCATGGAGTAATTCCGTTCGATGCGAGTGTCAAGCAACCGATAGGTCTTGCGTTTATTAGCAAGGAACGGTTTCGCCCACTCGACCAAATTCTGTTCTCCCGGTGGTCGGTTTTTGTCGATTGCTCTTCGACCAGATAACATCTCCAATAAAACAACGCCAAAACTATACAGATCACTCTTTGCACTAAGATGACCTAAACAGTGAGAGATGAAATAAGCGATCAACACAAGAGATCTAGAAATGATTCGTTCTCCTCTTTAGAACAAGCAATCAATGCAATCATTAGCTGATTAATACCTGTGGCTAGATACTCGGGGGCTGCATATCCATACGTCCCCATAACTCGAGTCGAGACATGACTTTTGTCGCCCGTAGGACCATCCTTGGCCAGCCCGAAATCTGAGAGCTTCGCATTATAGTTCTGTAACAACATCATAGAATGGACAGGTGAGATCCCACATATCTGTTAGAGGTGAGCTTGAACTGTTACAAGACTCTTCAGAAAGACATCAAAAAAGCTGAAATGCTGCTACACTGTAGCAACGACTCACCGTATCAAGGAGTATGTTCGATGTCTTGAAATCACGGTAGATCACTTTGTTTTCATCGTTGTGAAGGAAAGCCAGTCCCTTCGCAGCACCGAGCGCAATTTTCAAACGAAGGCTCCAAGAAAGAGGTTGAAAATACAGCCCTCCTGAGAGAGTAAACGCTCTGCAATAATGAATAAAACAATCGAGCATCGTCGTTTAATCAATGAAGGCGACAAAGAACTTACGTTTAAACAAATGATTCTCCAAACTGCCTCGGGGAAGAAACTCATACACGAGCAACCGATGTTCATCTTCGAAACAATAGCCTATCAGCTTCACTAAATGCGGATGGCGGAGTTGTCCCAGAAAATTGACTTCAGCCTAAAGAAATACAAACTAAAGCTTAAATGGATTGATTCATGATATAGCTTACAGCTTAGAAAAGAACATGAACTTACTAGCCACTCCTTGTGGCCTTGGTGGCCATCTACATTCAACCTTTTCACTGCCACAACCATGCCAGATCCTGGCTTGGCAGCTGAAAATGAATGTTCATCGATCCAGCCTTTAAAAACCGAGCCGAACCCGCCTTCCCCCAACAAGCTATCAGGGCGGAAATTCCTCGTGGCAAGTTTAAGTTCCGAAAAACTAAAGCTCTTTAGATTCGAGGACTGCAAAATTTCATCCTCACTCCGAGGAATTGATATTGATGAGAACTTGCTGTTGCTGCTTGAACTGGAGAGATCATTTGCTTCCCTGCTAACACCGTTTGAGTTTCCTCCTGCATAAATTAACCGTAAGATATCTATACCTGAGCTAAAACTACGTATAATATCGTGTTAGGAACTGGTATGATATTGTCCACTTTGAGCATAAGCTCTCGTGACTTTGCTTTTGGTTTACCCAAAAGGTCTCGTACCAATAGAGATGTATTCTTTATAAACCCATGATCAACCGCTTAATTAGCTGATGTAGGACTTCCTCCCAACTATCCTCAACATTTCGAGTAAATGAGTAAATAAAGGGAATGATATTCATTCCAATGGCTTCAGAGCTCTACCTGTACTGCAGGTGCTAACAGCTTTGATTCTGGCGCTTAAGCAAACCCCCATGGAAACTGGCCCAAAAATCTCACAGCCTGACCAGTTTATCACCAAATTCAGCGGCTTACAGCAAGAAATCCAAGCAATAAGTTGAAGAATCACAAGTCTAGACAGATGGGTAGCGCTCAAAACGAGTAAAAACCCTCCACAAACACTTGAAATGCAAACCCAGATTCAGAATTCAAGTTCTTAGAGCATAAACAAGAACAAAAACTGAAAAAACACAAAAATCCCCAAAACCCAATGATCAGAGGAGGGGGTAAATTCGATTACCAGTGTTACCAAGATCTCACAGAACTCAGCGGCTTACAGCAAGAAATTCGAGCAATAAGTTGAAGAATCACAAGTTTAGAGAGATGGGTATTGCTCAAAACGAGTAAAAACCCTCCACAAACACGTGGAATGCAAATCCAGATTCAGAATCCATGTTCTTAGGATATAAACAAGAACAAAAACAGGAAGAACACGAAAATCCCCAAAACCCAATGATCAGAGGAGGGAGTAAAATCGATTACCAGTTTGTTCGCTCCAGAGACGCAGAGCCCGCAGAGAATCGGAGGTGAGGAGACAGATATAGGAAATGGAAAGAAACATTCAAAAGGGTGGAATCGAATTGCGACGGAATCTTTGAAAATTTATTAGAGAAGGAGTTGAGGGACTACTTTGACCGGGAAAATTGAGGAAAATCTGTTGGATAGTGAGAAAGAATAAAGAATGACGGAGTGGGAGAGGGTTGAAGGTGGAGAAACTTGCAACAATGGCGGTCACGGGTCAGTCATCGGCCCCACATTCTCCACCCATGGAATTGACAACATCACTGATCATTCATCACTGCAATGCTCTGACTTTGACATCTAATAACCTTGTGTTCCGTTTTGTAATTTAGTATAAGATTTTTATTTTAAATAACTAAATTATTCAAATTATAAATCAATTTTTTGAAGTTCTAAGTAAAATTTTGAAATAAAGTACCTATTTCTATCCAAAATTAAGGTAAGGATATTTTTTTAATTTTTGAGTCGAGTATTTTATTATTAATAATAATATTATTATGAATAAATTAACAAGTTGTCTACCAAATTATTATAGAATTTGGATTGGATTGGTCAAAATTTGTATCGTTTTCTTAGGAAACAAACAAAACTCTAATATATATATATATAGATAATCTAGAAGAAAGAAGAATTATTCTTATTTGTATTTTTATTAGATCCTAAAACCTTAAAATTTTAAATAAGGATTACGGTGTTCCATAAGTTTCAGTAAACCTATTATACCATCCAATACCGAAAAGATTCAACAAGCATTCATTATTCATCTACAAAATTGAATAGACTCGATTCAACTTCCATTTTATGTGTTGTAAGGTGACTGGAGTGAGGAAGGATCATTTGGAGATTTGGAAGTCAACATTTGTAAGTCAACTTGTGGATTAGGGTTAATGGACATTTGAAGGGTAGTGGAGTGTTACTAGTCAATCATAACCATAATTGTAATAGTCCAAGCCCACCGTTAATAGATATTATCCGTTTTGAACCGTTACATATCGTCGTCAGCCTCATAGTTTTAAAACGCGTATGCTAGGACTCTTATAAGGAATGCTTCGTTTCCCTCTCGAATTGATGTCGTATCTCACAATAACTTCTTCTTGTAGTGGGTATTTGAAGAGACTTGGGAGACTTTAAATACGCGCATAATTTATATCTAAAAAATAGATTATAAATAAATGAAATTCAGCTCTTAAATTGATATTTTCGCTCTTAGATTTTAAGTAATTCATGTTGTTAAGGATATTTAGTAATAAATTATAGTTTACCATATATATTATATTTGATATTTTATTATAAGGCAAATATCTAATATTTGCCTTATTATCATAGGTATCTTTCCATTTATTACTATTTCCATATCCTTGTAATTCATTTTATTATAAATAAGATAACTTTCACACCATTTAGGTGTGGTGGATTAATCAAACATTCACATGGTATCAGAGCCCTCTCGATTTAACAACCCCGATCCTTTCTTTTCAATGGCTTTTGAATCCTTTAATCTTCTTCTCCACCACCCCTGCTGGTTTTGACGCCGCAGGGGCAGTCTTCATGACTGCCGTAGTCGGAGCCGATTGATTACTCTTCGACTCCACCCTATTGACCTCCAAATCACCTTTCGTCATACTCTGTACATACAACCTCACCTTTTCCAACCCAATCGGTTTTCCTCTCGGCCAATATAGTCTCTCTTATTTTCTTCCCAATCAACCTTCATCCTTCACATAAACCCTAACCTAAACCTATCAACCTTTCGCAGAGATTTACCTTCGGAATCTGGGTGCCGCACTGGCCTATTCGCCAACCAAGTTGCCGCCGCCCTTCCTCCCAAAATTGGCTTCTTCGCCCGATGAGGCGACTCTTCCGACTGCCCTTCTCGCCAAAATTGGCTCCTTCGCCCAATGTGGCGACTCTTCCGGCTTCAACATTGTCTTTGTCCCTTGCTCTAGGTTTCCCNTTCTACTTCTTGGGGTTAGAAATATTCTCACCAGAGCCAAGGCAGCATCGTCGCTAAGCGACAATCCCTCTTCATGGGTTAGACATATTCTCGCCGAAGCCAAGGCAGCATCGCCGCTGAGCGGCGATCCCTCTGCAATTTTTGATGGCCAAGAACCGGGTTGTTAGCATCTTCATGAAAAGTGTTTCTCAACCTCTTTGAATTTTTCAGATTCAAGCTTCACGTTCGTTTAAATCCGACGCTTAGCTTGCGGTGGGGTGTTAAGGATATTTAGTAATAAATTATAGTTTACCATATATATTATATTTGATATTTTATTATAAGGCAAATATCTAATATTTGCCTTATTATCATAGGTATCTTTCCATTTATTACTATTTCCATATCCTTGTAATTCATTTTATTATAAATAAGATAACTTTCACACCATTTAGGTGTGGTGGATTAATCAAACATTCACATGGTATCAGAGCCCTCTCGATTTAACAACCCCGATCCTTTCTTTTCAATGGCTTTTGAATCCTTTAATCTTCTTCTCCACCACCCCTGCTGGTTTTGACGCCGCAGGGGCAGTCTTCATGACTGCCGTAGTCGGAGCCGATTGATTACTCTTCGACTCCACCCTATTGACCTCCAAATCACCTTTCGTCATACTCTGTACATACAACCTCACCTTTTCCAACCCAATCGGTTTTCCTCTCGGCCAATATAGTCTCTCTTATTTTCTTCCCAATCAACCTTCATCCTTCACATAAACCCTAACCTAAACCTATCAACCTTTCGCAGAGATTTACCTTCGGAATCTGGGTGCCGCACTGGCCTATTCGCCAACCAAGTTGCCGCCGCCCTTCCTCCCAAAATTGGCTTCTTCGCCCGATGAGGCGACTCTTCCGACTGCCCTTCTCGCCAAAATTGGCTCCTTCGCCCAATGTGGCGACTCTTCCGGCTTCAACATTGTCTTTGTCCCTTGCTCTAGGTTTCCCCTTCTACTTCTTGGGGTTAGAAATATTCTCACCAGAGCCAAGGCAGCATCGTCGCTAAGCGACAATCCCTCTTCATGGGTTAGACATATTCTCGCCGAAGCCAAGGCAGCATCGCCGCTGAGCGGCGATCCCTCTGCAATTTTGATGGCCAAGAACCGGGTTGTTAGCATTTTCATGAAAAGTGTTTCTCAACTTCTTTGAATTTTTCAGATTCAAGCTTCACGTTCGTTTAAATCCGACGCTTAGCTTGCGGTGGGGTGTTAAGGATATTTAGTAATAAATTATAGTTTACCATATATATTATATTTGATATTTTATTACAAGGCAAATATCTAATATTTGCCTTATTATCATAGGTATCTTTCCATTTATTGTTATTTCCATTTATTACTATTTCCATATCCTTGTAATTCATTTGATTATAAATAAGATAACTTTCACACCATTTAGGTGTGGTGGATTAATCAAACATTCACACATGTGATAAATTGCATGAGTCATTAAATCAAGCTTCGATCAAATTGACTATCGAATGTAATCTAATTCTGATCTCTTCTTAGTTAATCTGAATTTTGGATAAAGAGGTGTTAATTTCTTTCATTCAACAGATTGAAGATTAAGATTGTTTTACATAAAAAAAAAAAAAAAAAAAAAAATTAGAATGGAAGGAATTATAAATTTAGACGTAAAATGCAATTAAAATGATTGTATTTTAAATTTTGTTTGATTTTGATGGAAGGTATTAATTGGTGATTGTGAGGCGGCCGACCAACCTTTATAAGCACAGCATATCCAATAATTGAAAACGGTATTCAAATTCAGCGGCCTCTAGTTTTATGGGTGTAAGGAATTATTGAATTTAATTGGGTCCCCTTTAGTTCGGTTTTCGTAACGTGTATCAATTGGGCTCTTTGAGTTTAAGCTTTTTAGTAAAGGATTAGCTCTAAATGAAAGACGCACATAATGCCACTGAAATTCAAGCTGAGTCTAGTTCAGCTGATTTAGATATATACCTCTGACTCGAGAGATAAGTTTGAGTTCTTGAACTATGTGGTGTTAAACTAACGACATGTGAAATCTCATATTGATTGAAGAGAGGAACAACAAATTCCTAGTAAGAGTGTGGAAATCGGAAATCCAAAGAGGACAATGTATGTTAGTGGTGGACTTGAGCGGTTACAAATGTTATCAGAGTCCGACACTAAACAGCTTGCTAGTGAGGATACTGGCTCCCAAGAGGGTGGATTGTAAGATCCCACGTTAGTTGAATATGAGAACGAAACATCCAAATATGTCCATTTGTTCCACGACTAATACTAACTTTAAAATCAACAGTTGTAGTATATATTTTTTTATTATTTATTTATTTAGATATTTGTAATGTTATAATTGTCAGCTGATTTCTGGATAAATTTAAAATTTAAGAATAAAAATAATAAATCAAAAAATATAATATTTTAAAATTAAAGGTACACATTTGGATGAGGAATAACATTTAATGCAAAACAATAGGTGTCTCATATGGTTGGATGGATGATGTAACACAAACATGTGACAAAAATTCTTGTTTCAAAAACATATACTTATAATAATAATTGGGGGAATTTATTATGTCCATAAATATCTCTGTCTCATCCCCATACAAAAATTAAAACATATATTTATTATAGTTGCTCTTTAATTATTATTATTATTATCGTCAAACATATCTTTGTCATTTTAGGTAAAAATCATGAAAATAGTCTTTAACAACTGTTTTAACTATATTAATTTCAACTAACTCCGAGTCTTAAATCATATAATATCACAAATTATTAGTGAAAGCTAACTCTTTTTCTATGATGACACGTTACATATCTGCTCACATACTCTGTGATATCTCTTTTCATTCCCGATCATTAGTACTACACCTTTAAGTTCTAATGCATCTTTGTTCCATCGAGGTACACTATATAAGGAGATTCATGGGCCTTTTTAATACTTTTCTCTTGATCACTTCACTGTCGGGAACAAATAAGTGACCGTGCCAAAGTAGACCTTCGTCTTCTGGCTATGAGATCTCATCTATCTGATATGCATCATCTAGCTGCCAAATTTGTAACGACTATCCCGAGATTCGAATCAAGATTCAAAATTTAGATGACTCCAACACTCTCTTGCATTCCATACTACATAGTCACGTTACTTACTCCTTACTTCTTCAAAGTGAAGGCTATCCCTACAGACCAACATGTGCCCTTCAAACATAATTTGTCTTCACTCACATGTTTCTTAGGAAAATTATGAAGTTCTTATAACTAAGCCACCGAAAAGGAAGATGCACCTTATTCG